TATAGTGATTACCAAATATAGCTTCTGATTTGAACAAAAAGAGACAGCAGAAAGAGAGAGAGAGAGAGAACAAGAAGTATATATTCGACCCATGTGTTGGGGGGGGGAGATGAATTACTGTTGTAAACAAATAAGTGAGGAACTAATGTTATATTTCATAAAACAATAAGTAGAATTTTTTTCCAAATATTTTATATTACGTATAATTACGATTGTCTTCAAATCATTGCATAATGATTATAGTTTATGATTTGAAAAAAAGAGCCAGCGGAAAGAGAGAGAGAGAGAGAGAGAGAGAGAGAGAGAGAGAGAGAGAGAGAGAGAAGAGAGAGAGAGAGAGAGAGAGAGAGAGAGAGAGAGAGAGAGAGAAAGAGAAGGGAGAGTCTAAGAGTGGTCAGACGTTCCTTGAGGTCACGCCCCCTGCTACCAATCATATCGGCGGGTTAGCTAGCAACGCCCATCGCTCGTGACCCCTGACCTGCTTTACAACACTACGAAACACTCGTCCGCGGGTCACGGCTTCGCCCGGCCATTCCCCGCTGGGAGTCTCCCCACACGCGTCTCGGCTCTCCTCTAACCTGCACCAGCGCAAGACTCAAAGTTACCTCAAGCAGTAAAGGAACCAAAGCAGAACTGTCTCCATTGTCAACGCCAGGGGAATCCAAACCCTGACAAGTGGTGGCAGACGGTGGAATGTCGCATCTTTCCACCTTGGGACTCGACTACAGGCCTCCTATCCCCGAAAAAAATGCAAGTACGCCATGGGCATTTCTTTTCCTTCTCCCCATGTGTGCTGCGCTGGCCCACGCCCGGCCAGTGAATGGTAACCCCAGGCATTCCTTGCACACAGAGGGATATTTGGAAGCAAAATAAAACAGACAATATGTCTCAGCAAAGAATATCCATTGTAACAAATGGAATTAAGACTAAAAATCCATATGTGCACTTTTTTTTTTTTTTTCAAGTGCAGTGTTTTTTTTTTTTCAAATATCTAAACAAGTCTGTGTAAAGTGCATTTTCTTTTCTTTTTCTGTTATATACCGTGTTCTGTTTTTTTCGTTATGGCAGACTGTCGTATTTTTAAGGGAATCAATCCCTTATTTATTTCATTCGCAAGAGCAATATATTTGGCGTTTTTTCAGTTTAACTCGATCCAGCTAGCCTAGTTAGCATAAATCGTGTATAATGCTGAAATCTCTTAATTAGTGGGTAAATTTCTGTACACATTTTTCTTAAATAGATCAATTTCTGTTTCTACGAACATTCTATGCCCCGGTTTAACCATGTATTTGTGGGATATTTTTGAATATTTAAAACAGTGGAATTATGCACAAACAAACAATTAACCTCATTCCCCACGCTTCCCACATTCCCTCCTCCTCTACCCTCCCTCGCTACCTAATTCCAATATCTGATCAGGCCATGCGTTCAATTATTTTTTGTCGTGATATTTACTTAAAATATTATATCTTTTAAACGAAATGGTTAAAAAAATGTGTTAAATATGGTAGATGAAATTTTCATCTGCCTTCATGACCATATTTTGACCGCGAGTGACCTGCCTTCCTGACCTTTCCTACTCCTTTTTTGTGGGTTCAAATGAGGTCAGGTCTTGTCAGACGAGGACAGTATCTCACATTTTTTGACCTGTGTTAGCCTAGATATATCTGAATTTGTTTATTTTATACATAATAATTTTGATAGCGTGAATGAACATTATCATTGTTCTTTTCCGTTATCGACGTATTTACGATAGTGATGAATTTACTTCAGGCTTGCATGAACATATCTGCGAGCCGTAATAATATTAGCGTAATTCATCGAATTAAATCGTGTGATTTTACATTATTATTATAGTATATTTGTGCACATTCTAAACTACATTAAGCCATTATTGTTCTTTTTCTGTAGATATATTTTTTTCTTGGATTATTCATGTACGGTACATTTTTTTAATTTCATTTATTGGTAATTTGATTATTTAATTCCTCGATCAGTGTGCTTATTTTTTAAACCTTTAATTTTCTAACTACTAGCTTTTGTTATTTTAAGCAAAATTCGAATAATGACCTCACATGACCTCACTCAGGTAGAAGGTCCCTAATTACAGCAATTTGTATTTATATTTTCATTTATCTCTCAGTGTTAGAGATTAATCATATATTAATTACTATGATTTCCTATTGTTCGTGATTTTCGCTCTTATGATTCATCAATACATGCGAAATTGCCTCAGCCATTCTAACAATTTTCTATTTCTTTCCTTTCATACGATAATCGTTAGTATGCTGACTTGATTTCTTAACATTTTCTTCATTAATCAGCCTTAATCACGAACCTTTTTTTACCATTATTACCTGGTCCTAGGTGACAACCCCAAGCTGGTTTTTGGATATGTAATTAGTGTTTAATGACACACTCTTCCTATGTGTTGCCAACTGCACACTTATCGCACAGACGCCTGTGTGATTATCTACGTGAGATTATCGCTGGTACTTCCCAATGCCGATCTGCTTGCATCATGCGTTGCTCTGCAAGCCTTAGTCTGTTCCGCAGCAGATCTGTCACTAATTTATCCATGTTATGTACTAGATAAAGTGCCATTTTTTGTGATTTTGTGATTCATTATCGCTTTGCTTCGAATTGCTGTTAGTGACGTGTGATAGACACTTACAATCAAATGAGAAAGGACTCCATGTACTTCCTATCAGTCAGATGTATATTGTATGCATGATTGCACACACACTGTAGAACACTGCATTTTTATTTCTTTTTTATAAGGAAGTTTGTTGTTCAAGACTGTCCTTGCGGACTGCAACATGAGTTCAAGCGACACGAGCTGAGAGTGAGCACAGGGAGCTTCACTGACTGGCCGAGCTTCTACTGGGAGGTGATGGTTCAGTGGGCTCTTGATCGGCAGGGGGTGATCGGGGGCCAGGGATAGATCGCGGAGATACACGAGAGCAAGTTCGGCCGCCGCCGGCACAACGTGGGCCGGGTGATGACGGCCAGTGGGTCTTCGGCGGTGTGTGCAGAGAGACACGCATTCTCTTCCTCGTCCCGGTGGAGGGTCGGATCAGCGACGCTTCTTGCAGGTATTAGGAAACGGATCCGCCCCGGGTCGACCATCGCCTATTGCTGGAAGGCCTATATCCGCCTCTCCGGCGAGGGAAAGGCAGTTGACTATTATATTATATATATGAATACACACTGAGACTCGAAGTTAGAAGAGGTAACACCAGAAAGGAAACAAAAAAAAAAAAAAAACATTCTTCAGCCTGTCGTCTCCTGCCATAGTCTCTCAGCATCTCGTTCTTCAATTTTTCGCTGCCGGCTCTCAGCTGCAGCTTCCTCTCCGCCATCCCCGCTTCCCGGGCCACTTCATGCTTAATCTGTATGACGGGGACCGCTTCGTCGACCACTACCTTGATAACCTTCCCTACCGGCGGGACAACGGTAACTTAAAACCCATGCAAGGCTTCGAGCACCTTGCCACCTGTGACATCCACAGAGTCTCCATTGCAGATGCCGTAACTGGAGACCGTTGCTTCAGTGTTCCATAAACACTCGCCATTAAAGGCGAGCCACCAATGGTCACTTGGGGGAACGCCTTCTAACATTACTTTCACCCTGAGTGTGTGGATTGTGTCCGTCGGTTGTGCTTCAACTGAATACATTGTCCCGTCTGTGTCTCACACGTGGATGATCATGGCCAGGATCTGTAAGAGAGGTCGAGGGAGAAGAGACTGTTATATTGTTTCTGCTTTAAATTTAAACTATCCAATCGTTCTGGATAGTTTAAATCAGTCATTCCTTTGTTTTTCCTCTTGCTTGCAAATTCTGCTGTGCTGACTACAATTCGTATCATCTCTGTGGTCTCACATAATAATCATTTATGGCCACATGATTCCCGACATGAACACGTCTCAGGGAAATGCCAGGAGAGTTTTCAACGCAGTAACATCACTAAGTCCAACCGCCTCGTCCCAAGGCCTAATAGGCATGTTCCTCTGTGGTCAAGTCCCCTTCAGCCACTTGGTCTGGGACCAATTCGAGCATCATTAAGCATATTCCAATAAACATGAAGATAAGCGTTGCTGATAATAATGAAGATGGTAGTAACGACCATCATATCTATCTGTATATGTATCTGTGCTATCCCTTCTATCTATATATATTTGAAAATCCTTTAATTTCTATATAAATATAAAATGATTATTCACACACATACGTACATATGCACGCACACACGCATGCATGCACACACACACACACACACACACACACACACACACACACACACACACACACACACACACACACACACACACACACACACACACACACACACACACACACACACCACACACACAATACATACATATATGTAGCCTTCTGCAGATTGTTCATGACTCTTCTCACGTCTACTCTCACTGAGTAAGAAAGATGGTCTAGGAAACAAGAAAGCCATTTGTGAAGTTGCACTGAATGTCCACCAGACGTAAAAGTCTGTACAGACGAAATTATCAAATGAACTCCAATGTGCTTTAACCGAAACCCATCGCCCAGGGTGCCAGCTGCGTCGTCCTGACCAGGTACTGGTATCATGCTTGAAGGTGTCCACAGCAGTACAGGGTCCATCAAGCTGCAGAGTGCTGCAAGACGACCAGAGATGCCCTCAGCAAACTCTGGATAGAAGAAGCCTGTTGGACGATCTAGATCGTGGCTTGGGCAGATTATTCACACTTGTCGTGAGGAGCTAAAGAAGAGCCGAGTCGGCGGTAGCTCACCAATAATGATGATGATAATATACATTGTGTTGCTTACTCACCTGCACCTGATAGCGAAAATCATAATATTGGGATGCAGAATTGGTAGGAATAATTCTAATGCGTTCTTTGGCATATGATTTAGCCTACGCATTTAGTCAATGCTTTTCTCAACAAGAAACATCCTTAGCAATAACAAAAAGAACAAATGGAAAATAGAAAACAGCAAAATAAATGTTCTATTTATTGAAGATTAGACAGCAAAATATATAGAGAATTTATTGATAACAGAAAAGAAATAATACATAAATTCATTGCGAATATAAAAGACAATTACAGTTACTCTCCGGTTAAACAAAGGCATGAGGGGTTGACAGGTTCTCCCTATGGTACCTTGCTTAAAGGGGGGGGGGGGGGTCACATTGGCACTGTTTCCGAGATTCACTTTTCTGTCTCTCGCTCGTACTGCCTTACTTACTTTTATTCCCACCTTTGTAGGCCAGCCACAAACTGAGAGGAACTAACACCAGAAGGGAAACAAGTAGCAACCCATTCTTCAGCCTGTCGTCTCCCGCTCCTTCCCCCTCCCTTCTTTTCTCTCTCCCGTTTCCTCTCTCGCCCTCGACCTCCAGCCACACAACAGACTCCCCGGTGATGTCGTAGTCTCTCAGCATCTTCTCGTCCTTCAAGTTTTCGCTGCCGGCCCTCAGCTGCAGCTTCCTCGCCTCCACACCCGCTTTCCGGGCCACCTCGTGCTTGATCTGTATGACAGGGACCGCTTCGTCTGCCACTACCCTGATAACGTTCCCTTCCGGCTGGACAACGTTAACATAAAATCCAGTGAAGGATTGCAGCACAGCAACTGGTATGACATCCACATAGTCTTCATCGCTGATGCCGTAACTGGATATCGTTTTCTTGTCCCGCAAAAACGTATCGTTAAAACTGAGTATCCGATAGTCACTTAGGGGAACGCCTTCCAACATTACTTTCACCCTGAGCGTGTGGATTGTGTCCGTCGGTTGTGCTTCAACTGAATACATTGTCCCGTCTGTGTCTCGCACGTGGATGATCATGGTCGGGATCTGTAAGAGAAGTCGAGGGAGAAGAATGTGGGTTATTGTTTCTGCTTTAAATTTGAACTTCTTAATCATTCTGTTTTATTAAGACCAGTCATTCCTTTGCTTTTCATCTTGCTTGTAAACAATGCGATCTAACATGATTCCCGACATGAACACGCCTAAGGGAAATGCCTGGAGAGTTTTCAACGCAGTAACATTACTAAGTCCAACTGCTTCGTCCCAAGGCCTAATAGGCATGTTCCTCTGCGGTCAAGTCCCCTTCAGCCACTTGGTCTGGGACCAATTCGAGCATCACACTAAGCATATTCTCATGATCATGAAGATAAGCGTTGCTGATAGTAATGATGCTAGTAACGACCATCATATCTATCTGTATATGTATCTGTGCTATCCCTTATATCTATATATATATATGTAAATCTGTTTATTTATATATACATATAAAATAATTATTCACACACGTACATATGTGCACACACATGCAGGCACACACACACACACACCTATACATACATATATATAGCCTTCTGCAGATAGTTCATGACTCATCTCACGTGTACTTTCACTAAGAAAGATGGTCTAGGAAACAGGAAAGCCATTTGTGAAGTTGCACTGAATGTCCACCAGACATAAAAGTCTGTACAGACGAAGTTATCAATTGAACTCCAATGTGCTTTGACCGAAACCAATCGCCCAGGGTGCCAGCTGCGTCGTCCTGACCAGGTCCGTCAAGCTGCAAAACGACCAGAGACGCCATTAGCAAACCCTGGATAGAAGAGGCCTGATGGACGATCTAGGAGATCGTGGCTTGGGCAGATTGATCACACCTGTCGTGAGGAGCTAAAGGTCGAGTCCCTGGCTGGCGACTCACCATGATGGACCCTCGCAGGTGGAAACAAAGGGTGGATGAAGCTTTTCGCCCCCGTCGGCGGTAGCTCACTAATAATGATGATAATATATATTGTGTGTTGCTTACTCACCTGCACCTGATAGCGAAAATCATAATAGTGGAATGCGGAATTATTAGGAATAATTCTAATGTGTTCTTTGGCATATGATTTAGCCCACGCATTTAGTTAATGTTTTTCTCAAAACATTGTCCCAACAAGAAACATCCTTAGCAATAACAAAAAGAACAAATGGAAAAAAGAAAACAGCAAAATAAATGTTCTATTTATTGAAGATCAGACAGCAAAATATAAAGAGAATTTATTGATAACAGAAAAGAAATAATACATAAATTCATTGAGAATATAAAAGACAATTACAGTTATTCTCCGGTTAAACAAAGGCATGAGGGGTTGACAGGTTCTCCCTATGGCACCTTGCTTAAAAGGGGGGGGGGTCACACTGGCACTGTTTCCGAGTTTAACTTTTCTGTCTCTCGCTCGTACTGCCTTACTTACTTTTATTCCCACCTTTGTAGGCCAGCCACAAACTGAGAGGAACTAACACCAGAAGGGAAACAAGTAGCAACCCATTCTTCAGCCTGTCGTCTCCCGCTCCTTCCCCCTCCCTTCTTTTCTCTCTCCCGTTTCCTCTCTCGCCCTCGACCTCCAGCCACACAACAGACTCCCCGGTGATGTCGTAGTCTCTCAGCATCTTCTCGTCCTTCAAGTTTTCGCTGCCGGCCCTCAGCTGCAGCTTCCTCGCCTCCACACCCGCTTTCCGGGCCACCTCGTGCTTGATCTGTATGACGGGGACCGCTTCGTCTGCCACTACCCTGATAACGTTCCCTTCCGGCTGGACAACGTTAACGTAAAACCCACTCATGCCTTGGGTCACACAGATATCTTTGATATCCACACAGTCTTCGTCGCAGATGCCGTAGCTGGAAACCGTTACTTTAGTGTCCCTTAAATGCTCGCCGTTAAACTCGATTTCCCGAGAGTTACTTAGGGGAACACCTTCTAACATTATCTTCACCCTGAGCGTGTGGATTGTGTCCGTCGGTTGTGCTTCAACAGAATACATTTTCCCGTCTGTGTCTCGCACATGGATGATCATGGCCAGGATCTGTAAGAGAAAGTCAAGGGAGAAAAGAGTTATATTGTCTCTTCCTTAAATCTGAACCACTCAATCGTTGTTTAATCATGATCTGTCATTCCTTTGTTTTTCCTCTTGCTTGTAAATTCTGCTGTGCTGACTAAAATTCTTAAATATTTGTGCGACCTAATATATTAATCATTTATAACCACATATAACACACATAAAGCCAATTCCAGGAGAGTTTTCAACATAGCAACATAACCTACAAGCATGATACGCTCGATGCAGCTCAAGAATCGATTGGTGAACTCCCAAAAGACACTGAAAGCCACATAAGCTTGTCTGACAGGGGCTTGTGATTTGCATTGTTTCCTGGTGCGCAAGAAACAGTTTATCAAGAGTCTTACAGAGGAGGTCGAAGGCCATTTCTTAGGAAAATACTTACATCGTGCCCTGAGAAGGCTCAACTCTAAACCTCCTCACAGGTGACTGCAGTTTGTTCAGTAACACCAGATTATCCTGTTGGGGTTCGGGAGTGTTGGGTTGAGTATCTTGAGCAGTTGTACGAGGTTCATCCACCAACAGTTAACTTGGATGCAGGGAGTGTCGGGATCCCTTTGCCGAATCCTCACACCCTAAAGGATCCATCCTCCCTAACTGTTTTTTTTTTTTTTTTTTTTTTTTTTTTTTTTTTGAGGGGGGGCAATCTCCAAGCTGAAGAGTGGTAAAGCAGCAGGTATCTGCAGCATCCCAGCTGAACTGTTAAAGGTTAGTGGTGAACCTGTGGCACAAGATTTGCATGCTGTTCTAGCTGCCATCTGGCAAACGGATACTATTCCCCCTGACCTGTTGAGGGGTGTGGTCATCCCTCTCTGGAAGGGGAAAGGGGATCGACTGGACAGCAGCAGTCACTGACGCAATAAACTCACATCCTTCTGGAAGTATCAGAGACCACCTGCTGAGGCAACAGATGCTGGAGCAATTTGGATTCACTCCTAGTACATCCACAATATACCGTTTTTCGCACTTTGGAAACCCTAGTGGTGGTTTACATGCATTTAGCAATAAAGTGAATCCCCTGGGTCTAGAGGTCTCGTGGACCAAGACCAAGACCTAGACAATCGGGAACCTTGGCCTTTTGCACTCTAGCACGACCGGATGCAGCTGGAAGTCTTGCCCAGGACAATGTGAATGTTTGTATATATAAATTTATATATATATATATATATATATATATATATATATATATATATAATGTATGTATGTATATATATATATATATTTATTTATTTATTTATATGTATGTATGTTTACATATATACACATGGTATTTTTTTATTTCGTCCTCCAAACGGATCAGGACCATAATATCGCTGGATTCCTCTCTCCGTCTACACTGCAAATACCAACCCATGACATAGGCAGCATTGTGTACTGAGCAGATTGTAGCATAATCTGGATGAACAGTAGAGCCGGTGGTGTCCCACTTTCATCGTGTGGAGTGGAAAGATACACATATCTATAACAAGGCGCATGGCAGGGTCAGCCACTGTGTGGCAGTAATTATCCCATTTAGTTACTGTATTAACTGTTGCATAAAAATGTAGCCTTGAGATCGAATTTCCTGGAAACCACGAGATACGCTTCACAACAAAAGCGATCCGGACCTCCCGCCGCCACGATGGCCGAATGCGGAGGGTGCTCGCACTCCGTAACAGAGCAGTGAACGGAGGTTCAGGTGGGATAGGGCCGAGGCGACCAGGAAGCAGAAGAGGCGATATAGCTACCCCGCCTCGATGTTCGTGGGCTCTCTCTTTGAGCCCGCCCTGACGCTAAGACCCTGCTGATCTTCGCATCTTTTTCGTCCGGGAGAGGGTCACGCAGCGGTTCAGGCCAAGGTCTATATAAGTACAGGTCTCGTCACTTCGGAGTTCTGCACAGCTTTGGATGATAAGGCCTATGACGTCACCGGGCGTGAGCTGAGAAAGAGGGGGCCGGGAGGAGATAGAGCATGGTAGGGTGGGAAGGAGATACTAGAAAACGGTAGCAAATGAGCAAATACTGAAGTAACTTTCAGGCACACTGAACGATTTGCGTATTGGACAGATTTTACAAGCGACGATTATATTATTATACTTACATAGACCTTGGTTCAGGCGGCACGAGTTGGGAACGAGAGCGGTGAGCTTCACTGACTGGTCGAGCTTCTGCTGGAGGATGGTTCAGTGGGCTCTTGATCGGCAGGGGTGATCGGGGGCCAGGGATAGATCGCGGAGATACACGAGAGCAAGTTCGGCCGCCGCCGGCACAACGTGGGCCGGGTGATGACGGCCAGTGGGTCTTCGGCGGTGTGTGCAGAGAGACACGCATTCTCTTACTCGTCCCGGTGGAGGGTCGGATCAGCGACGCTTCTTGCAGGTATTAGGAAACGGATCCGCCCCGGGTCGACCATCGCCTATTGCTGGAAGGCCTATATCCGCCTCTCCGGCGAGGGAAAGGCAATTGACTATTATATTATATATATGAATACATACTTAGACACGAAGTTAGAAGAGGTAACACCAGAAAGGAAACAAAAACAAAAAAAAAAACATTCTTTAGCCTGTCGTCTCCTGCCATAGTCTCTCAGCATCTCGTTCTTCAATTTTTCGCTGCCGGCTCTCAGCTGCAGCTTCCTCTCCGCCACCCCCGCTTCCCGGGCCACTTCGTGCTTAATCTGTATGACGGGGACCGCTTCGTCGACCACTACCTTGATAACCTTCCCTACCGGCGGGACAACGGTAACTTAAAACCCATGCAAGGCTTCGAGCACATTGCCACCTGTGACATCCACAGAGTCTCCATTGCAGATGCCGTAACTGGAGACCGTTGCTTCAGTGTTCCATAAACACTCGCCATTAAAGGCGAGCCACCAATGGTCACTTAGGGGAACGCCTTCTAACATTACTTTCACCCTGAGTGTGTGGATTGTGTCCGTCGGTTGTGCTTCAACTGAATACATTGTCCCGTCTGTGTCTCACACGTGGATGATCATGGCCAGGATCTGTAAGAGAAGTCGAGGGAGAAGAGACTGTTATATTGTTTCTGCTTTAAATTTAAACTATCCAATCGTTCTGGATAGTTTAAATCAGTCATTCCTTTGTTTTTCCTCTTGCTTGCAAATTCTGCTGTGCTGACTACAATTCGTATCATCTCTGTGGTCTCACATAATAATCATTTATGGCCACATGATTCCCGACATGAACACGTCTCAGGGAAATGCCAGGAGAGTTTTCAATGCAGTAACATTACTAAGTCCAACCGCCTCGTCCCAAGGCCTAATAGGCATGTTCCTCTGTGGTCAAGTCCCCTTCAGCCACTTGGTCTGGGACCAATTCGAGCATCACTAAGCATATTCCAATAAACATGAAGATAAGCGTTGCTGATAATAATGAAGATGGTAGTAACGACCATCATATCTATCTGTATATGTATCTGTGCTATCCCTTCTATCTATATATATTTGAAAATCCTTTAATTTCTATATACAAAATAATTATTCACACATACGTACATATGCACGCACACACGCACGCACACACACACACACACACACACACACACACACACACACACATACCTATACATACATATATGTAGCCTTCTGCAGATTGTTCATGACTCTTCTCACGTTTACTCTCACTGAGTAAGAAAGATGGTCTAGGAAACAAGAAAGCCATTTGTGAAGTTGCACTGAATGTCCACCAGACATAAAAGTCTGTACAGACGAAATTATCAACTGAACTCCAATGTGCTTTAACCGAAACCCATCGCCCAGGGTGCCAGCTGCGTCGTCCTGACCAGGCACTGGTATCCTGCTTGAAGGTGTCCACAGCAGTACAGGGTCCATCAAGCTGCAGAGTGCTGCAAGACGACCAGAGATGCCCTCAGCAAACTCTGGATAGAAGAGGCCTGTTGGACGATCTAGATCGTGGCTTGGGCAGATTATTCACACTTGTCGTGAGGAGCTAAAGAAGAGCCGAGTCGGCGGTAGCTCACCAATAATGATGATGATAATATACATTGTGTTGCTTACTCACCTGCACCTGATAGCGAAAATCATAATATTGGGATGCAGAATTAGTAGGAATAATTCTAATGCGTCCATTAGTATATGATTTAGCCCACACATTTAGTTAACGTTTTCCCAAAACACTGTCCCAACAAGAAACATCCTTAGCAATAACAAAAAGAACAAATGGAAAATAGAAAACAGCAAAATAAATGTTTTATTTATTGAAGATCAGACAGCAAAATATAAAGAGAATTTATTGATAACAGAAAAGAAATAATACATAAATTCATTGCGAATATAAAAGACAATTATAGTTACTCTCCAGTTAAAGAAAGGCATGAGGGGTTGACAGGTTTTCGTATGGCAGCTTTCTTAAAAGGGGGGTCACATTGGCACTGTTTCCGAGTTTCATTTTTCTGTCTCTCGCTCGTACTGCCTTACTTACTTTTATTCCCACATTAGTAAGCCAGCCACAAACTGAGAGGAACTAACACCAGAAGGGAAACAAGTAGCAACCCATTCTTCAGCCTTCTTTTCTCTCTCCCGTTTCCTCTCTCGCCCTCGACCTCCAGCCACACAACAGACTCCCCGGTGATGTCGTAGTCT